AAATGGGGTTTAGTTCATGAGAAAGGGTGCGAACGAAATGGGTAAGTAAAAGATACAATCCATTTTAAAGAAAAAGACAAAAACACAAACGGAAGAGACACCAATACGCAAGGACCAGCAACAGCTTATTTCTATCGTCAACTCTCCTTCCGAAAATAGTGTAATTCTGCTCCTCGTCTTTTCCACCACGAAAAGGAATTTTCTCCTCTTGGAATCTGTCTGTCGGTTAGGTTATTCTTTCCCTTTTTATATCGGACCCTAATTTTTGGGCATCCAACCAAAGCTTGTATGGGCATGGCAAAATATCCCCGCATGGGATAATTACTGCACTGTGAATGAATGCCCTAGCATTCGATTCCTGCGTCTTATCAGACTTCCGACTTAACAATGCTTCATCAACTTCTACCTGTGCTCTACGCTTTCCTCATGCCTTCATCCTCAACTTTCAATTATGAGCAAATGAGCCAATAATAGAGGAAATGAGTAAGTACTTAAGCCAAAGCATCCAATACAAGATAATTAAGCTCATTTCAAAGATTCTATTTCCGTCTATGATTTTTAAAGAGTTAAAATAGACAAACAACAACATTAATTAGCACAAAACTTCAAAGGTAATAACTATAATAACTCTCTTTTGGAGCATCTAATCGGTGAGGACAAGCTAAAGCCTTTTTAATAGATGGAGGTTCAATATAAGCATAATCAAGAAAAAAAGGTTTAAAAATCCCATTTTTGGCCCGTGTCATCATACTATGAGAATTTAGGGAAGGAGCGGGCAATGATGGAGGTAAATGCAGACACTGATGTAGGCCTCGGCACTACTGTCGCAGGGGCAAAACAGATGTACTATAGAACCAGGGGTAGTAGATACTGCTGCTGCAGATGGTAAAGCAAAGGTGCAGACAAGTGAATCATTTAAATAGGAATTAGGGTCCTCTTGTATAGAAGGTACAGAGTTGCTATCCATGGTTGTAGAAGAAGAAGTATCGTACTTGTTTGCAATAGTTGTAGAGATGGGACCAGAAGGAGATAAATTGTTAGGCAAAGAAATAATATTGGGTACTGAAGTAAAAAATGAAGGTATTTTGAGTGGTAGAGGGAGATGAAGTGGAGCATAAATGTGATGAAAAAGGAAGGCAAGTTTCTTTGAATATAACATGTTGAAAGATATAGAGAAGAGCCGAGGGTGCAAGAAATTTATAGCCTTTGTGAGTTGAGCTATATCCAATGAAAAGGCAGGTAGTAGAACGAGGTTCAATTTAATGATGATTATAAAGGCACAACGAAGGGTATGATAAACACGTAGAGGTCTTGAGAAAAGAGTAATCGGGTTTTTGACAAAAACATTTTTTCCAAGGGATAAAAATAATGTAGGACAACTGTAGGTAATCTATTGATAAAAAAGACAGTTGGAGGAAAAGCATTTTATGTTATAAATCTAAAGGTAAAGAGCCTTGAGAAAGCAAAGTAAGCCCCATATCAACAATATGCCTTTGTTCACGCTCTACAATGCCATTTTGTTGAGATGTATAAGGATATGAAATATGATGTTCTACCACATGGGATTTAAGAATGGAATAAAATGAGAGAATGCACTGTCACAATTAGTTTGGAGACGATGAATGAAGCAATTTAATAGTTGTTATACTCGTGTTTTAAATAGAAGAAAATCATTAAAAACCTCATGTTTAGAATGGAAAAAATAAAATCAAAGKGTAGGGAGAATAGACATCAATAAAGCTAATATATTATTTGAAGCTATTAGATGATTTAAAGGTGGTCCCCACAAATCAACAGCAACTAACTCAAGGGAATCATGATATTGTGTCTTAGAAGAAGAAAAAGGAAGATTATAACTTTTAGCATGACAAAGAGAGAATTTATTTTTATTAAAACCATAAATATTACATGATTCGAGTGCATATTGCATAACATGTAAGGGAGCATGACCAAAACGGCAATGCCAAAGTTTAAAAGTACAAGATAAAGGAGAATCAATCAAAAAAATCAATAGAAAATAAGGAACTATCAGCAGTAGAAGAAGTTAGAACTTCACTACTGGGAGATGGTACTACAATATTGAGAGATGTGTGATTGAAGGATGAGATTGTGTTAGGATGGGCCTTCTCTAAGGTAAATTTGTAAAGTCCATTATGCACTTTCTCTTTAAGCAGAATTTTGCCAATAGCTAGATCCTTCACAAAGTAGTATAGTGAGTGAAACTCAAAGAAGACATGGTTATCTTTTGCAAATTAAATTGACCAACGCTTTTCAAGTTTTTTTTTTTTTTTTTTTTGTGATTTTAGGTACATGAAGTAGATTATTTATTAGGAAACATTGTTGATTTGAGGAATTAAAAGAAGAAAAAATAGGTAGAACCAGTATGTAATACTTCCAAACTTGCACCATTTCAAATCATTACTTTATGGTCACCTTGATAATCGCTACTGATAGATTACCAAAATCATTGATAACATGGTTAGAAACGCCTGAGTTAGGATACCATCACATGCTCTCTGTTCGATGTTCAGGTTTAACCATGAAGGCTTGCATTGGTTTATTCAGTTGCTATTGTTGTAGTGTATGATGAAAACCTCCCGTAGGCATTGGGGTAGTGGATATGGATAGTTCTGCTGAATATTGTGATGAAACATATGGTCCCTGATACCATCTCTCAAAGCAAAAGTAACAGCGCAATGCCGTAAGTCAAAATCTGCCACACAAATTGCATTGAATTTTGCCACTGTTTTGATTCCAATGTATTTTTCCAGTGCGATCTCCATTCTTACATTTATTAGGTAAGGAATGAGTACGTGGATGATTTCCAGCAGCTGTAAGTGAATCAACTAGAGACCTTTCATTTTTACAGAATAATCTTTCAGATGCCATGTTTACTTTCTTCATATTCTCCAATTGGGATTTTAATTGCATTACCCTAGTAAGATTTATTGATACATACATGGATTCAAGAATATTCCATACTTCTTTAGCTGTAGTACAATGTATTATCTCACCTAGGATATGTTCATTCATCAAGCTGAAGAGCCAATAAGTGATTAGCTTATCTTGGCATTGCCATTGTTTGTAGGCTGGATTTTCACTCTCGATTCATGTTGTTCCTTCAACAAGTTCAATATTCTTTTCAGGTTGTTCAGCATCTCCATTTACAAAATGCTCGAGCATGTGCCCTTGCAAGGCAGCAATCACCTAAAGTCTCCATAGCCATGTAATTTTCATCATTGAGTTTTACGGTGGAAATTTTATTGCCAGGAGTGATAATAGAAGATGTAGAGAGATCGTTTGATCATATTTTTGTGCGGAAGAAAAAGGACTCCATTGGAGAGTAAAGGATCAAGAAGATACAAGAAATTAAGTCACAGTCGTTTGGCAACACTCTAATACCATGATAAATACTCACACTATGACTATGAATTAGTTTTCTTACATATTTATTATGAATAATAGATCAAAGGTATTTATAGTCTTTTGCTCAGATATAGAGTTACAAAGAATTAGTTTTGATTTGTCTGACAAACCATCAACTAATCCAACTTATAGAACTAGCAAAACTCGTATTATAACTGCACACAATAAATCAGTAGAAGACTGAGTTAACGTGCTTGCTTAAGAGTCTTGATAAGAAATAAGAATTGCTTGGGTCGGTCAAGAAAAGGATGTATTACAACTCTCTTAACTTGATTCTTCACAGGGAAGTGAGTGAAAATGTTTGACGACATATACTTAACCATAATATCATAGTAAACAAGTAGATATATGCCATTTACTTTTGCATTATTTAATTTACTGCGTTTTGCAATCACGCAATAAATTACAGTGAAATTCAAAGCAACTATTTATTTTGTTGGTCTGGTGTAAGAATTATGATGGTCTTTATACTTTCTTTTTCATGCGTTTGATGTTAGATGAGATTGCTTTTCCAAAAGAGTTGTCAATGTTGTTGATGTTTCCATGTTTGATTGCTGACTTTATCTAATTGCTTTGGTTTCCATGTTTGATTCACAAGGAAATCATTGCAAACAAATAATATATAGACTTTTGTGCATCATTTTCCATACTTGTACCGCTTTCTTCAATTGAGGTACAAGCACTAAAAATATCAAATTAATCAATTATAAAACTGTTTCATGAGTATAAATTTCAAACAAAATAAATGACTGAGATGATGGGTAAAAAGTCTCAAGTTAAATAGTATAAGAAAATATAGGTAATAGTAATAAGAAATGTGGATATATATATATAGTATTATTGTTTGAAGAAGTTGAAGTATTTGACAAAAAAAAAAAAAAATTGAAGTATCTATATTTGTTGAATTAGTTTTAGAATGATTGTGGTCTACTTGTTGCGATTGTTCAATGCTATTACAAAGTTACTATTGGTTGCTTTTTTATTGTGAATAGTGAATATAAACAACCCTTATTTTGAGCCAACATTTACCCATTCATTTGGCCTCTTTTTGCTGTATTGGAAAAAATATCTTTAGAAAAGTTATAAAATTTAACCAAGAAAAGTATTTTAATTTAATAAAATAAGTTAATATAATTTCAAATGTTATTAATTTCTACTTGATTTGTTTTTTTTAGGATATACAAATGTCAATAAATATATATTTTTAAAGTTTAAAAACTGTTGAGAATAACGACATTTGAAAAAGAATAAAAACTTTCAAAAGGGTATTTGATAACAATTAATTATCAACTACTAATTCCACAATTATCCAAATATTACAACCTTTCAAAAAGTACTAATGTTCTAATATATTTTTTTTAGTACAAGCGTGGTGAAAGATTTGAACTCGTGACCGCCCAATTAGATATAGGTGTCAATTATCGTTGAGCTTATAAGTTTGTGTTGGCAATTTTTTTTAACAGAACATGTTGCTAAGGGGATTCGAACTCACAACATCTCGATCAATTATCATTGAGTTATGCTCCTTTGACTTGTATTGAAAATTTTTAAAAGTTAATTTCAACTTTGAAGTATTAATTTGAAACAATCTTGTATTAGTACTTTATTATATCAAAACTTAAAACAAACCTTCAGGGCACTCCCATATTATTCTTATTCTCTCCCACAGCAACGTGTATATCAAATTATTAATAAAAGAAAAAAAAAGATGATAATAATTAAGTCAAGTGAGAGCAACTTCAGCATGCCGACATGTCGTGCATAGGTCTCTCATTTATTGCCCTTCCTTGACCTCATCGGCCGACGACAGGATCCTGGAAAAAACAATGTGAATTCCAGGGTCATGGTGGCTGAACGACGAGTCCATCAGAATCGAATTGTTTATGCCTTGAACATTGCTGTTAAAGAAACCTTTCACGGGCAATGAAGAAGAACTTCGAATTCCCATTGCTTTTTTACTGTTTCTTGTATCACCTAATTTAGGATCATTATTGTTTTTAAGGTTGCCTTCTTCTTTTTCATCGTAGTTTCGACCTATCTGATGACGACGGCTGTTGTTTTTGTCGGTGACGACAACTTCCATGGAAGCTCCTCTGTTTTCTCCGGCCATTGTTATGAATCTTGTGTTGGGTTCTTSGTCGGACCCCAAAACCTTTTTAGCACGAATTGCTTTGTCTTTTCCTTGTTCCTCATGTTTGTTTGGTTCTTGCTTCCCGTTTTGGCCAAAGCTAGGGTTGCGTGCGTGGTAGCTAGGATAATGATTGTCGGGTTGCGTAGGCTTGTCCACCATTTTTTGGACCACCACGGTTTTCCGCTCTACCTGTTAAAAGAATATGAATAAAAAGATTGAATGTGTAGTCATATCGTCTCTTTAATTTAAGTTTTTTGGTTGAAGAATAATTTTACATGGTATCCAAAATTGGAGATCATAAGATTCACTAAACAGGTTTAATGTTATTTCGTTTGCATTAGTATTATTAATTATATGTTGGGTGTTCTCATCCSTATAGACAAAAAAGTGAGAGAGAGTTTCAAGAAAAGAACATGAATAGATAAGAAAGTTCAATTGTYATCGGTGTTTCTTCTCTTTAGTTATTAAACTTTTAAAATGTCTAATTTCATCCCGATATTTTATAAATTGACTATTTTGGTTGTTAAAATGACAAAATATTTATTCTAAAGTCTCTTAACATTCAAAAAATTAATATTTATATCCTACATGCTTGCTCTCTAATTAACCATGCTCATAGCTTCATTGATCATTTATTAAAAATATAATAAWGTCAAAATCAAAATAGTTACCGCTAAAAAAGACATTTTAAAAATTATAGACTAAATTAAAAGAAAAAGTTACACACTAAAATTGAATTCAAATTAAAATAATCATCCGACCCATAAGCTTGAGCTTTTAGTTCCAAGACCGAAGCTTTTAACACTACCTCTTGAGGAATGCTCTCATGTTTAGGATCGCCTACGGATTGCAACTGCGGTGGTGGTAGAATCAGCGGGGAAGGCGGCGCCGTCTTGAGCTTCGGAGAGTAATTTGGCGACGGTACAGCAGGGGTGGAGTGTCGGACAACCGTAGGAGACGGAACCGGGCTTGGCGAATTACGAGCAGCCATTGTGGCATCAATGTGGGTCTCGAGGTGGCTCGGAGAGGCYGGAWCTGAAGCTTTTGCCTTAGAATCAGTACCTGAAAATGGCGGACTACTAGGTTTTGCCGGCAGCACGGCGGCAGAAGCCGGAGACGCCGCTTTTTGTGGTGGGGAAGAATGAGCAGTACCACCTGTTTAGAATAAGAATAAAACAATGTTAAGTACTTATACTACAAGTTAATCACCTTCAGCTTTTCAATTCAATTAATATGTTAATAGAGAAATTTTTTCCTCCCACGTTTCAAACTCACGAGTGAAGAGGAATATTATGAATGGATTAAAGTACAAGTTTGATTCTTCAATTTTTAACATTGTGTCTATTATGTTTTTAAAATGTTTGAAAGTATTTAATAGGTCTTAGAAATTTTAATGTCCATAATAGATAATATTATAATGTTTTTAAAATTCAACGACCTACRACAAAACTTATAATTTAATATTATAAATATAAATAAAAAAATTAAATTGCTCTAATCTATCCACCGTAAAATTTTAAGTYTWCSTGGTTAATACTATCTCTCTTTTTTCAAAACATCTTACCTTTGAATTAACTTTASGTTTTCAATATGATATTATAAAAAACATATATAGATCAATCTTGTGTTAGAAACTTTTATAACCTTACTTTTTCTCTCATTAATATTTCACTTTAATCAATTTCTAACCGCACAACAATGCAAAGTGTTAAGAATGTGAATAAACAGAATAAACGCACAGGTGATTTAACGTTACCTCTCCCTCCATTAGCGGGAGACAACGATGGAAGAATCGGTCTCGTAAACGTGGTAGTCGATGGCGACTCTGCTTTTTTTCCAGAAGGGGTCAATGTGGGAGAAGAAGGAAGAGACGTGATGGGGCGAGGCAGGGCAGCAGCAGGCGGCGGTGGCGGTGGGG